TTTATTTTATTAAGTACAAATAAATAATAAATGAATATTGATGTTAAATTATTACGTTTTATCATTAATTAAAAATATGCAAAAATTGCAAGATTATTGCATATGTATATTTCAATCAAAGCAATGAAAATATTCTGTAGTTTACCTTATTTTACACGTATAGTTTCTTAAACTTGTTGTGTATATAATTTAATAAAATTTTTATATATATATATATATATATATATATATATATATATATATATATATATATATATATATATAAATTATTGCATATAATAAAATAAAATCAATATATGTATATAGAAATATATACTCTTTGAGTATCTCAAATTTAAATAAATTTTCTATAATCAGAAATTAGATTAAATTAAATTAGATATCAATAATTACCTGTGTAACAACGTAAGATCCTTTCATACTAAAAAATGGTTTATGAAACATGGTGAATTGTAACCTTAGTTTCCCCATATCATCTGCTACTCTGAAACTATCAGCCAAGGTCGTAATCCAGTTAACAACATCTTCATTAGCATAAGTTATTAATCCCTGACCAAACTGATGTTTGCCATCCAGTATAAAGTTCAATATGCCACGAACGGAATTCTCAGTCATCAGAGTCTCTTCATCAAGATGGACGATCCAGTCATGGTCAGCCAATTCATTAACTGAGCTCTCAAGGCAGTATTGTAAAGCACGAGCCTTAAATAAGGCACCACTACTTGTGCGATAATTTGGAGGGACAACTACCTCTCGCACTCTGCGATGCGGAGTTAAACCTATTGGCTTGTCGCTCACTACCTCTATTTGGAAGTTCTCCAAACCAGCCTCTATGCATTTATTTAAGTTTCTCTTCACATTTGTTTTTACTAATTGTGGATAATCCCCACGAGTTACTATCCTTATACAAATAAATGGCGCAAGCAAGGGGGAACCTTTCAATACTACTTTATCAGGGAATGCATTATATATCGTTAATCCTATAAAATTGAAGAGAACTTGAGGCAAGGAAAGAAACGTCACTGTACGTAATAGGTACAAAGTAATTGCACCAATAACACCATATCTTGTCCATGGATCGATTTCTTCTTTCTTATCTGTGTTCCATCGAAGCCCACCAGATACAAATTCAAATATTAATATGACCACAAGCAATAAGCAGCAGTGCAAAATATGTTTTGTTATACTGTTCAACATTATTCCTGCAAATTATAATATATATTTAATAAGCAATGTTACAAGTTTAGAATATACTTAATTTATAAATAAAAATAATTAGAAGCACACTTCACTTGTAGCAGTTCACTTGTTTAATATAAATATTATTTGTTACACAAATGCCAAGCAATTTTAGATATTATAT